GAGCTTAAATATAAATACATTTCCGTGTTTGTCATTCATGGGTCATCACCAGGTCTGTCTGCTCACACAGGGCAGAGGGGGGAAGCCTGGCTGTGGGGACACGTCATGCACCAGGAGAATGGCAGGAAACAGAAGAGGAAATTTGATGCGGGGGAACTGATAGATGAGCAGGTCAACAGGATGACGAGGGAGGAGAGGAGCTCAACGGAATGAATGGAGAAGCACAGGCAGTGTCATCACACAAAGACGGAGCATTTTTCATTGTTTCCTCTGCGCAATTGGTCATATCACTTGTGACCCTGTCGGAGAAACTTCTCCAATAGTCATTATTATTATGCCACAGATGGCATCTTGTACTGTCCCACACTGAAATCTTTTTCACATGGACCACGACAGTCATTTGAATCTTTTCATGGAGATTCAGGCTGAATGGGATTTTGCGGATCAGATGAATGGGTTTGAAGGGATGAGGATGAATGAAGAATGTCTCATGCTAGTCTGGGAGGATCTGCTGTGGACTAGGCGGATGGAGACTCAGTCTAGGGGGGGGGGGGTCCCGTCGCTGGCACATTTCTGCCCAAGCTGATGTTGGACCCCAGGACAGAAAATATATGGAGAGACATAAGACAAATATACAATGGATTGAGTTGGAAGGGATGAGGAAAGGAAAGACGAAGGGATGTAGGAAGGGATGAGGATGAAGTAGGGATGAGGTCTTTGCCTCGATATCCACTGCCTACACTGGAAGCCCTGAAGATATTGGCTGTTGCCCCCAGAGGCTGATTCCATCATCAGAAACAGACAGGGGTGGAAATATCATCTTAAAGAAAGTTTTGAGTGCAGGTATGAAGATAAAAGCAGAATAACAATGAAATATTCAAACTGTTATTTCATTGCTGCCTTTAGAAAAATAGATATCTTCTTCATCAGCATATGATTTGATGATGGATAACACCGCAGCGATAGAAGAGAGGAAATAAGGCCAACCGCAGGACTATTATTGGAAACAGCGACAACTCAGCCACTGGATCTCATGCTCTCAAATTCATGCATTTTAGGAAACTGCAAGTTTTGAATGTAACTGACATTACCCCCATATTTATACCTGTTAGCCAGAACAGTCACATGATGTCAGTCATGCTGCCGTGATGACTCCCTCCAGCTGGATCCAAGACAAGACTCGCAAAACAGCAAAACCTCCTTCTGGGAGAAAAATCCAAACAGGTCCCTGAGGGTCAGATTCTCTGCTGCCTTGTGCTGATCCTCGTGATGTCCTGGCAATGCCCCCCC